CACACACACACACACACACACACACACGGGTACAACATAAGGAAAGTGGATGTAAATTGTAAACAGTGATTTGGAAAGGAGGATTAGAAATTTTTGTTACTAGATATTATGGATGTTTAGCTAGAATAGGCCATCAGGATTCAGTGATATTGGAGGATTTTAGAAATAGTAAATGAAATGCCACTATGTGGCGAGCAAGTGACAGGGCTGGAGCAGGCATTCCAGAAATTACTTCTGGGTCCACTGGTCGAACCTCCTCTCACCAACCCGTTCTCCTGAGCCAGTGCGAACAGGTAGAAACCAACCACTGATGTTTAGCCAGAATAGACCATAAGGATTTAGCATTATTGGAGGATATTAGAAATAGCAAATGAAATGCCAGTATGTGATTATGTTTTAAATCTTGATATATTTTATGATGAAGGACATTTAAACAATTATAGTTAAATGAAAATGGAGGTATGATGATGGTAATATGTATAAATATCTGAGTTAAAATACTTGAGTTAATATGAATTATGATTGATGACTGTGGAAGAGATACACAAAGGTTTTTTGTAACTAACTGATACACTTTCTACAGTATGTAGAAAAGGAGGATTCCTTGTTGTGTTTGTTTTGAAAATTTAAAAAAAAAATTTTTTTTTTAAAAGCATGAAGCAGAATTTTGGTTTACATGACTGTGAATTCCTTTCATTCACAATCAACAAGGCCTGGCAAACAGTCTTTCGTAGGAATATTTATCAATATGAACCTTATCTCACTCACTGCCAGATAACTAGTTTCCAAACGCAGGGCAAGGCAACACTTGGCACAGAGTCTCTTATAGTCACAAATGGAATTTTCCACTCTTGAAACAAACAAAGGAACGAATTGTTTCCTGCAAAAGCCCACTCCCTTTTCGCTCCTTTTTTGTTTCCTATGGGAGGGAACAATCACCTCCAAGGTGTTACTTTACTTCTAAGCCGACCCTGCCTTCTTAGTTGTTCTTGTCTTCTGGCAGCTCTGCGCATGCACACATTGGGAACAGGCTCCAGCTGTTCCTCTGCCTCATTGCTTTCTAGCTCCCTCTCTGTCTCTGATGCAGATCCCTTGTCTGAGATTTCCTTAGCTCCCAGGGCTGGCCCATGTTCCTCCTCAACCTCCTCACTGTCCGACTCTGCTTCCAGCTCTGCTGGCCACCGGCGGGCCACAACACCAGGGAAACATGGACACTAACTTCCCAATTGTTACAAAAGATACAAGGGGCACAAAGAGCCATGGAAAGATACACCCTCAGTGTTACAAGACAAGCTAGAGAGACCTGCACATGGATTAGAGAACAAATGAAAGTATACAGTGCCGCCAAGAGAGTAAAAGAATTGAAATGGAAATGGGCCGGTCACATAGCAAAAAGAACTGATGGCAGGTGGACCAAGGCAGTCATAGAATGGATCCCACTTGATAAAAAACGTCCATGAAAGAAACCTAAAACAAGATGACATTGGCAAGTACTATGGGTCCAATTAGCAAAAAAACCCAAAAAACTCAGGACCTTATGGGTTGGAAGCAGTGGTGGGATTCAAATAATTTAACAACCGGTTCTCTGCCATAATGACCACCTGGGTAGATGGGACTTGGTAGTCATGTGACTGGGTGGGCGTGGCCAACTCAGTGTCACTCAGGTCGATGGGCGTTTCGCCTTAGCTGTCACAGTGCAATAAGGGTTAACCAGAGAGACAGTTTCTATAAGCAGGGCAATAAAGATGAGGCTAGAAACAACACCAGAATGTTTCCTTCCTGCCTTCCTTACAGGATTAGCCCTGTAAAGTGAAGTAAAACAAAATGAGATTTCTTCCAACAACCGGTTCTCTTAACTGCTTAGAGAGTTAACAACCAGTTCTAGTTATGACCATTTGAAGTTATAACAGATCCCCTTCTGCCCCAAAACGGTACGTACAGATCCACCGTTCTGAGGGCTGCACAAGAAGTTGCAGCATTCTGCAATCATACGGCCATGATTTATGACATTTTGGCTGGTTTCCAGCCTTTTCGGTGGAAAAAACATTCATATACTAGATTCACAAAATGACTGAGTTGTTCCCTTAATGACCAACAGGTTCCATTAACAACAGCCACAAAAAAAAGTTGTAAAATTGGATCCTGTCGTGTGAGCACCTTGTATAACCATCATGACGTATGACAGAAATTCAGGACTCCATTATCGTCATACGTTGTACTATAATATAGTAATGTACTGTGTACCTGTACTACATTATAATAAATAAATACTAAATAATTACTAAATTATAATAACTAGAGCTGTACACTGATAGCTTCTATCCTGGTTTTCTCTGCAGCTGCAATCTAATCTTTTTTTTCAATCCACTTTCTTCTTTTCCTTTAAGACAGGGGTGTCCAAACTTGGGAACTTTAAGACTTGTGGACTTCAACTCCCAGAATTCCCCAGCCAGGCCTAAAGTCCACAAGTCTTAAAGTTCCCAAGTTTGGGCACCCCTGCTTTAAGACCTTTATGTTTTCTGATTCCCCACCTCAATTTTACTGTGCACACCCTGCCATTTCTTCATGATTTTCCTTTCCAAAACTTTTTGTTAATTTTCCCTCTTTCCTCCCCCTTCTAATCCTAATTAGAGGGTTTAAAATTAAGACAACTTGTTTTACTTTCAATTTAGCACCTAATATAGTAAGGCTGCAAGAGATGAAACATAATGGCTCAGTAAAGTAAGTTATTGATGTTTACCTAGTGACATACGCCACCATCTCCAGGTTTTCTTTCCAGTCCATGTTTTCGAGCACACCAAATTGAAGCTGTATCAAAGCCTAAGAGAGAGCAGGTCAACACTGAGACAGTTCACAACATCTGCCAAGCATTTTACAGTCTTTTTCATCCTATGTTTCTGGCCTCTGACATATCAGATCAAGTTCTTTCACCCCCGTTAAGCTCACTAAACAATAGAAGATGCATATCCTTACATTTAGACTTACAAGTATATATTGTGTTTCCACGAAAATAAGACAGGGTCTTATTTTCTTTTGACCCCCTCAAAATAAAGACGTGGCCTTGTTTTCAGGGAGGTCTTATTATTTTTGAGGTGCAGGAGGCCCCTTAACCTCAGCCCACAGCCCACAGATCAGCTGATCCAGAGAGGACCGGAAGTTCTGTCTCTGTTTCTAGCACATTCTTGCCAGCCCTAGCGTTGCTGGGCCTACCACTCTTTTCGCGGCTGCCACCAAGACAAGGAGCGCAGTAGCTAGGGTTTGCGGAAGCGTTCTGTGCTAGGCCATTCTGAGTGGATGGCAGGTGCATGTGGGGCACGGGGAGCATGTTCCCTCCTCCCTCCAGGAAATGGCAAGGAGCGGCTGTACATGCATTTAAATATTTCAGGGGGGGGGGGCTTATTTTAAAACATACACTCAAAAGCCTGATTGGGCTTATTATTCGGGAAGGTCTTGTTTTCAGAAAAAGTGTGTGTGTGTGTGTGTGTGTGTGTGTGTGTGTTTGTACGTTTCAGCAAGGTCTCACTCGCCATCTTCAGGCTGGTGTTTTCGGCTTCGTTTTTGTGTGAGTAAAGTGTGATCAGAGCTGCTATTTTTCTATAAATCTTGGTGGGGTGTGTGTGGAGTGCTGGCTTTGTTTTAGTAAGTGGAATGATTGGCTGTGTGGTTGTATCATGATTGGTAGATTGGTGCTGATTGGTGCTGGCTGTGTGTCCGTTGTTGTTTTGTGTTGTAACGGCCTGGGTGGTGGGTGGGGCTCGTTTGTTCACTAGGGCTGGTTTCCAGATGTCTGGTAGGCAGGAGGTATCGTCACGTTTATTCATGTTGTGGGGGTGTTTCTCTATTTCGATAGCTTCCATAATTATTCTCTTGTTGAAGTTTTCAGTTTTGGAGATTAACCTGGTTCCTTCAAAATTAATTTCATGCCCTGTTGCTTTAAGCCCAAATCCCAGCCTGAAGATGGCGAGTGAGACCTTAATAATTATTAA